ACGCTCGTCACGCCCCCCCCCAAGCGTCGTCCTGGTGCTCTTGATGATATGAGACAGTAGGGGAGAGATAGGGGGTGGGTGGGGAGTGACCCCTGACAGACCTGCGAAAGCTGCCCCGATCCGAGAGAGGCCGTCCGCGTTGGCGTTCGCGGCTCCACTGGTCCAGGTGGTCTTCCCATGCCACGGAGTGGATCACGACGTCGTCCAGATAGGCCGCGGCGTAGGACTGATGGGGCTGGCGCACACGGTACGTCACCGGCCCAATCCTTTCTAGCACCGTATATGGACCCTGCCAGGTGGCCAGGAATTTGCAGGCAGCATTGGGGACTAGGACCATGACTCGGTCTCCGGGCTGGAACTCCCGTGGTTGGGCTGCCCGGTTATAGTGGCGCTGTTGGGCCTGCTGCGCTTTCGTTAAGTGTTCCCGGACTAATGGCATCGCCCGGTCGATCCTTTCCCTCATCTGTTTCACGTGCTCGATCACAGAGCGATGGGCTGCCGGCTGTTGCTCCCAGGCCTCCTTCGCCACATCCAGGAGGCCGCGGGGTTGCCGGCCAAAGAGGAGCTCAAAGGGGGTGAAGCCAGTTGAGGCCTGCGGAACTTCGCGGATCCCGAAGAGGACATAGGGGAGCATCAGGTCCCAGTCGCGTTTGTCCTCTGCGACCACCCGTCTCAACATCTGCTTGAGCATTTGATTGAAGCGGTCGACCAGTCCGTCGGTCTGGGGGTGGTAGACTGTGGTCCTCAACTGCTTCACCCGCAACAGCCTGCAGAGGTCAGCCATCAGCCGGGACATAAAGGGGGTCCCCTGGTCGGTCAGGATCTCTGCTGGGATGCCGACTTGGCTGGAGAGCAGGAAGAGTTCCTGGGCAATGGCTTTGGCGGTGGCTTTTCGGAGGGGAACTGCCTCGGGGTACCGGGTGGCATAATCGACAATCACCAGGATGTGTTCATGTCCCCGGGCAAACTTAGGCAATGGCCCCACAAGGTCCATCCCAATGCGCTCGAAGGGCACCTCGATGATGGGCAGCGGTATCAGCGGACTGGGGGGAGGCGTCCTGGGTGACGTCACTTG